CCCCAAAACCCCAAAACCCCAAAACCCCAAAACCCCAAAACCCCAGGAATATTTAAAAAGATTGAAGCATTAGTGAAATTATTTTAAATGTAGCTAAGCTATATTCTCGAAATCCGAACCATTTAAGTTGAGATTTATATCAAGATATTAGGAACATTAGAAAGATGCACTATGGTCGAATTAGTAGATTATAGATGGTCTCTTCTTCCATCTTCTTGCTCTTGTAATCTATCAAGATCAACTTGGTATTCTTCAATAGGGAGCAGATTTCCTTTCATCACAGCTGTACTGCTATGTATCTTGAACTGTGGAATATTATTTACGTGATCTAAATTTATTCGAAAAATATACCTTCTTGAGCAAAATTAATGTTTTCATGGCCTGCAGGAAGCCCAAAATATGGAATATGGAAGTCACGCTCAAAAAACGTCTTCACATCTTGAACTATATTTAATGATATAGCCTTTAAGAGACAGATAGTAATCTTACATTTAACACTTTTAGTTCCAAACTCAGGCAAACCAAAATGAGAATTCTTTCGAACTGTAAATGACAAAACTGTTCTTCCGACCTGAATTGTTGAATGACTTCCTTTCTCAATCTTTATAGGCTTCTGAGAAAGGACTAAGGTCCCAAATTTAGACTTTAAGTCTTTGATTATAAAGTTACCTCCCTTATAATCAAGCTCCATGTGGAGACGAGATACAGAGATATCGTTGGTCACTCTCACATCAGCTTCATGACCTCTTCCAAGTTTATAAGGAAATACACGGTTCTCCCATTTAAATGTATGAATAACCTTTCCTGTATTCCTAGCTCATTTCATGCTTTCTAATATAATGTAGGGCTTTTTAAGGATATTTCTTCCTTCTTCATACAGAGAATGAAGACTCCATTTATTTACCTTTATATTCGAATAAAGAAGGGTAAGGTTTCTTTCATATTTCTCAGTCAAATTTCTTCCAAATTACCGAAGTTACCCCATTTTCACCTTTAATTTGCTTTCTCGAATCAATCCAATGACGGAGTCAATTAATATGAATATATCTCATTGAACCAGTGCAAGAGCAAGGACATAACTTTGGATTATCTTCAGTCTCCTCAGCAGTCCAACAAAATTTGCAATTCCCTTCATTATCAGGCTCATCTTGAAGCTGGACTCAATCCTCCATTTCTTCATCAATAGAAGCGTAAGACTCCACATTATGAGTGACTAGTTCTCTTACTCTTAGGGAGATCCTTCCAATCTTAATAATATCCTTAGGTTTAATAACATAACCTGGCTTGCCTACTTCATAATGGCTCCCTCTGACGATCTCCCACAATCTATTACTCATCGAAGAAGTGGAATATACAGGATTGATCACGAAATCTTCGTCACCTAATCTTTCAACGTATGCCAAGGACTTTGGATCTTCCTCTTTCTCAACCCACTTGCCGTCTTTGATGTAGGGAACATGAGCGACTCTCTCCTTCGAGTTCACCACCAGACCTTTATTATTCACAGAGAACATGCCTAGTTTTATATCACTATTTAAGATTTATACAGGGGGTCTTACTTCTGGCTGCTTTCGTAATCGAAGAGTCCGTTGGAAACCCTGCTCCAGATCATGTACTCTCAAGAGAGAATATGCTTTGGATCCTTGGATAGTTTCTTTTCCTCCTTATCAGTTCACATAATTTTTTCTTCGCAATTTCCGACTTGATCCATTTCTTTCTTAATTATTATTAATATATGAATTCTTTGGGGTTTTGGGGTTTTGGGGTTTTGGGGTTTTGGGGTTTTGGGGTTTTGGGG